TCTTGGCCATTTCAGTATGAAACTTTAAAAGATTAGATACAAAATAAACAAGGTGCAGTTACTTAAGCGTAGAAGTAGTATTTTCTACTGTTTTCAACTTGCAGAAAATCAGTATCTCAGACACAGTTTTGCCTTTTGTTGCCTTAGAAAATTGCTTATTTAAAAGGGAAAGCTGCTTTTAATTGAACTTCATGAGGAATCTGTACTGATTCTTCAAGAATAAAAACTAGCTGCAGACAAATTTGACAGTAACAGTTTTTCTACTTGTTAGTGTGGATTTATTCTCATTCATGTTTTCTATTCTTTTATCTTTTATGAATGCTCTGACTCCACCAAAGAGCTTGATATTAGTACGCAGTGTAAACTGATATCAGGATTATTGGTAATTCAGAGTGGCATTAGGGAAGCAAATGTGCAAGTCTACAGTAAAATTATCAAACAAAATACTAAATGATGAAAGCAAAGTTATTCCATTGTGATCTTGCCAAAGCTAAAGGTTTGTGTGAGAGAGCTACAAATACATCTGCAGGACACACCTGCCTTCCAGGTGTAAATTGAGATAGTAGATATTGGATATTGCTCTGTGTAGATATTATTCACTATTTAGTGAACCATACAGTTGAGAGGGTACAATACAGAACAATAATTCATGAAGCAAATTTAGTTGTCTATCTAAATGGGAGTTCTCTGAGATAAAACACAAAACAGTAAAAAAGATTTAGTATAGGACTTTCACAGTAACATGCATGTTGCTTCCTTCTCTGAGAAGCTCAGAAAAGTTCGGGATTAGGAGGGGGGGTGGGGGCAAGACAGCAAAATACTCAATTTCTGTGATTTTTCTTCGTCTTTCAAAAAGTTGATACCAATTCAAGTCTCCTTTCTAAAAAACAGGGCAAAGCATCTCTAGCCAAGCTCAGTTAAAATTCATCGCACTAAAGATTAAGCACATCAGAGTAATTTCCATGTGATTTCCAGTGTACCAACCTGCTCATACGGTTGAGCTTACTGCAGCCTAGAAGACTTCACAAAGATATTTCGTCCTGACCCCACCCGGAGGGAAGTGTGCTGCCTTCCTGGGGCATGGGTCAGGGACATCTCTAGAAAGCTGCCTGGGCTTATTCGCCCGTCTGACTACTACCCCTTATTGGTAGTTCAGGTTGGCAGTGATGATACTGCCAAGAGAAGCCTAAGGGCAATCAAAAATGACTTCAAGGGTCTGGGGAGGGTACTGGATGGTGCGGGAATGCAAGTGATCTTCTCTTCTATCCCTTCAGTGGCGGGGAAGGACTCTGAAAGGATCAAAAAGGCCCTCCTCATCAATAAATGGCTTAGAGGATGGTGCAGGCAGAAGAACTTTGGTTTTTTTGATCATGGGGCAATTTACTCGGCTCCTGGCATGATGGCTGCAGATGGAGCTCAACTGTCTACAAGGGGTAAAAGGATCCTAGCCCAGGAGCTGGCAGGCCTCATTGAAAGATCTTTAAACTAGGTAAGAAGGGGGAAGGGGACAAAATGAGCACTGCTGAGGTTCAGGTAGTTCAAGGCTCAAAAGTGAATTTGATGGGTGACGAGGGTGGAGTTCGAAGGGATGGAGTGTGGCAGGGGAATGCTGCCTCCCTGAAGTGTCTATACACTAATGCGCGCAGTATGGGAAATAAACAGGAAGAGTTAGAGATCTGCGTGCGGTCACATGGCTATGATCTCATTGCGATCACAGAGACGTGGTGGGACAGCTCGCATGACTGGAATGTTGTCATGGAGGGCTATGTGCTTTTTAGGAAAGATCGGCCGGCAAGGCGGGGTGATGGAGTTGCTCTTTATGTAAGAGAGCAGCTTGAATGTATTGAACTCCACCTGGGGGAGAGTGGTGTAGCAGTGGAGAGCTTGTGGGTAAGAATCAAGGGGCGGGCTGGTATGGCTGACACCGTTGTGGGTGTGTGCTACAGGCCCCTGATCAGGAGGAGGAGGTTGATGAGGTCTTCCACAAACAGTTGGAAGCAGCGTCACGATCCCAGGCGCTGGTGCTTATGGGGGACTTCAATCATCCAGATATTTGCTGGAAAAGCAATGTGGCCAGGCACGCGCGGTCCAGACGGTTCCTGCAATGTGTTGAAGACAACTTCCTGATGCAGGTGGTTGAGGAATCGACAAGGAGAGGGGTACTGCTGGACCTTATTCTCACTAATAGAGAAGGGCTTGTCAGGGAAGTAAAGGTCGGGGGCAGCTTGGGTTGTAGTGACCACGAGATGGTGGAGTTCAAGATCCTGAGTGGAAGAAGTAAAGCAAAAAGTAGGATTGCTATCCTGGACTTTAGGAGAGCCAACTCGATCTCTTTCGGGGCCTACTTGGAGCTGTCTCATGGGCTAGGGTGTTGGAAGGCAAGGGGGCCTGTGAGAGCTGGTCGGCATTTAAGCAGCTCTTCTTCCAAGCTCAGGATCGGTGCGTCCCTGTGAGGAAGAAATCGGGAAAGGGTGGCAGGAGACCTGTGTGGATGAGCAAGGAGCTCGTGCACAAACTCAAAGGAAAGAAGAAGGCCCATGAAATGTGGAAAAAGGGTCTGACTACTTGGGAAGAATACAGGAATGTTGTCAGGGTCTGCAGGGATGCGACAAGGAAGGCTAAAGCCCGCCTGGAATTAAATCTGGCAAAGGGGATAAAGGATAATAAAAAAGGTTTTTTCAAGTACATTAACAGTAAAAGGAAGACTAGGGAGAATGTGGCTCCCCTGCTAAGTGACGGGGGTGTTCTGGTAACGGGGGATGCTGAGAAGGCGGAGATACTGAATGCCTTCTTTGCTTCTGTCTTCAGTGAAAAAGCTCCCCCTCGGGAATCTGAGACCCTGGAGATTAGTGAGAGGATCTGGGGAATGGAAGACCCCCCTTCTGTCAGGGAAGAGGTGGTCCGGGAGCGCCTAGGCAACATCAATGTTCAGAAATCCATGGGACTCGATGGGATTCATCCACGGGTGCTGAAGGAGCTGGCAGAGGTGATTGCTGAACCGCTTTCGGTCATCTTTGAGAAGTCTTGGAAGACGGGGAAGGTGCCTGAAGACTGGAAGATAGCCAACGTCACCCCGGTCTTCAAAAAAGGCAAGAAGGAAGACCCAGGCAATTATAGGCCAGTCAGCCTCACCTCTGTCCCTGGAAAGGTGATGGAACAGCTTGTACTGGATGTCATCTCCAGACAACTGGAAGAAGAGGAGGTTATCAGGAGTAGTCAGCACGGGTTCACAAGGGGGAGGTCGTGCTTGACCAACCTGGTAGCCTTCTATGATGTTGTCTCTGGCTGGGTGGATAGGGGGAGAGCAGTGGATGTAGTCTACCTTGATTTCAGCAAGGCATTTGATACTGTCCCCCATGACGTCCTTATAACAAAGCTGAGGAAGTGTGGGATAGATGAGTGGACAGTGAGGTGGGTTGAGAACTGGCTGACTGGCAGAGCACAGAGGGTCGTTGTTGGTGGTGCAGAGTCTTGGAACGCTGGACTTGGAAAGAGTCCAGCGGAGGGCCACAAAGATGGTGAAGGGCCTGGAGCATCTCCCCTATGAGGAAAGGCTGAGTGAACTGGGTCTGTTCAGCCTTGAGAAAAGGAGACTGAGAGGGGACCTGATCCAGGTCTATAAATATCTAAGGTGTGGGGGGCAGAATGGCGAGGCCGGACTCTTTTCAGTGGTGAGTGGAGACAGGACAAGGGGAAATGGCCAGAAACTGGAGCATAGGAAGTTCCGCACAAACATGCGCAAGAACTTCTTTACAGTGAGGGTGACGGAGCACTGGAACAGGCTGCCCAGGGAGGTGGTGGAGTCTCCTTCTCTGGAGATGTTCAAGACCTGCCTGGATGCCTACCTGTGCTACCTGGTGTAGGGAACCTGCTTTGGCAGGGGGGTTGGACTCGATGATCTCTGGAGGTCCCTTCCAACCCCTACAATTCTGTGTGATTCTGTGTGATTCTGTGTGTGATATTACTAGGCAAAACAAATAATGGAAATAGATAGGTATGCATAATATTTTTCAAGAATTGTTTTAGATTCTAAGAACTGTTGATGCATCTTTTTGAGAGAATCATTTGCACTAATCTCTTATAACCCAGTAGCTATGGAATGAGCTCTTTCTCTCAGGACTTTGTTTTCTGGCTCTGCTGACATCAAAGTTAATGCCAAGTATTTAGATTGCATGAACACTGCATAGGAAAATAGTTTATATAATATTCAGCATAAGAGTGAAAGAATTTTGGAAATATTTTGGGCAAATCTTGGCTTACTGAAAGGATTGCCAGAGCTTCTATTGCTTTCAGCTAAAGTACAATTGCACCTTTGACTTTTCTACATCCATCACAGAAAGAATTCCCTTTCATTGTTTTATGTCTTATAAGGAGAAATAAGAATCTTACTTTCATTCCTGGATTTTCTCCAGAAACAGAGTGGAAAATTCGGTTCAATTGGAAAAGATTTTTTTAAATTCTAAGGAAGGAGAGTGAGGGGATAAAAGTTTTCCACAAGCAGCGAGGAGTAATGAATGCCCAGGCCTCAAAAGACTGTGTTTTGTGGGTGCCTTTATTCTTTTTGTTGTTGTTTATTATTATTTTTTTGTTGTTTTTAAGATTAGCTTTTTTGTTAGAATCATATTTTCAGGAAAATAAAAAAAAAATAAACTTATTTATTCACAGATTCAAAATACAGCTGCAAAAAATGACAGCGTTAAATTGATGTTTATAGCATAAATAAGATAAGAAAAAAAATCATTGCTTATGCTGAAATTCATGAAAGGACTTTAATTGTCTGAAATGATGAAATAAGGATTGTGGAAACTGACAATAAGTTATTTTGTCCTCTAGATCTGAATGTGACTCATTTCTGTGTTTGGCTTTTGTTCAATTTTTACTCCACAATATCTCCATCATTTTAAAAACATTGGAATGTTAGTTAAACTTGTTGAAAACAATGCGGTTTCTGTTAGACTGAGGTTCTGTGTAAGCACCATCTTTAAGAACGAGGGACGCAGTGTAGTCCTCTTAGAGCTTATACAGCCATGTGGACCCTCCCAAAATTACCAGTGACTCATTGCAAGGATGTTTTGCTATTTGGGAACCTAAGCTGCTTTGGGAGTGGGCCGCTGCATCAGGAATAGGTTACTATTGGTAAGTAGCCTTTACTTTCCGTTATGGTTGATTATTTACCTGGTACAGTTTGTAACATGGCTCTTCTGAGTGGGGTAACTCATTCCATCTGGAGAAGAGTCCCTCTTCCATGTAGAACTATTAGATGTCACTCCTTCACATCTTGAGTTTTGTGCATTTTGTGGTGGCTGCAGGAGCAGGACCAGCTATGCATGAGGCTGTGCGGTACAAGATCAGTAGCTTGAAAGTCACCCCTCTTGAACAGCTGGTATGCACTGCCACTGGGTTGTCCTGTATTGAGACCATTTTCCTGCCTCATTTTGTTCAAAAACTAGTCCTGCCTTCATGATCACACATTGTTTTCAGAACTGCTAATGCTCTGTGCTGGCATGAATTCAGTACAGGACTAGTAATATTAATATGAAAATACTTTAAATAATGCTTTTTAAAGCCATCTTTTAAACTTCTGTATCATTTCAAAATGCATCAATTTGTCACTTATGTATGTATTTAATGATTTCTAAGGTGACCTCAAAATTTTGTGTATTCAGATCTTGATTTTTGTTATGTAGGAGCGTACAAGACTGGGCAAAGCCAGTGATGTGTGTTTTCACTGGCCTCTAAGCTCAGCTGGAGAATGTAAGTGCAGTATACACTGGTGAAAGAATGTTACTTTGGAGTCAGGCACCACGGTTAATAGTAGAATCATAGAATCATAGAATTTCTTAGGCTGGAAAAGACCTTAAAGATCATTGAGTCCAACCACAACCTAACCATACTACCCTAACTCTAACAACCCTCTGTCAAATCATGTCCCTGAGCACCACATCCAAACGGTTTTTAAACATGTCCAGGGATGGTGACTCAACCACCTCCCTGGAGAGCCTATTCCAGTGCTTAACAAGCCTTTCAGTAAAGAAGTTTTTCCTGATATCCAACCTAAACTTACCCTGGCACAACTTAAGGACATTTCCCCTCTTCCTGCGGACTCTTGTTCATCACTGGCAAAAATGCAGACTACTGATGGTGACTGTGTTCAAAAAATAGTGTTTTGTAGCTGATAATTTGCTCTATCAAATTATGTTTCTGTACTCCTTTTTTTCTGTTGTAGTTTCCTGTAAATAAATAGACAGCATTACTTTTGGAGCAAATGTATTTTACCAAAGTGTTTTATTGTCTGATTCTCCAAAACTGTTTTAATATTCACATCTCTCAGTGTCTGACCATCACTTAACTCATACTTAAAGCAATAGCTAAAACTTTAATGTATGTTCTTCAGATAAACAGCAGCTGTATTTTTAATTGGCATAAGCCATCTTAAAATTAATGTACCCTTATTTATTTTTAAAACAAATTGAGACCTGAATTGCAGGGAAAAGCGCTGATATTGCATGACAAACAACTAGATTGCAAGGTGAATTTAAATAGTGACACCTCTGAAGAAATACGTTTGGTTTCACACATTTGGCATAACGTAATCATGTGAAATATCTGACAGCAAAGCAAGTCTTGATTTTGAAATATAAATCTAGAAAGCTCAGTATGAAACACACGCCTTCTATCTTTTATTCCTAAAAGACCATCTGAGTAGAACAAAATAAAATGAAACACAGGAATTACTTCCTTTTTAATATGACAAATAAGTCATATTTGAGACAGATTGCTGAGCAACATAATTGGATTGGAGAGCTCTGGAGGACTCGTAAAAGAAATGCATGAGAACTTCCACAGCTACACTGGATGTATGACATTTACATAAACCTGCACACTCATACAGTGCTTGAAATTAAGAATACCTGTCTCCTAAAGTGCTTAGTTCATAACTGGCAGTTATGAAAAATATCTTTCCTCTTCAAGTGAATTTTCAAGTGTCCTGAAATTTACTCATATAATCCCTTCAGCCAAAGAGGTCTAAGATGGTGGAGTTTGAAAAAGAAAGCTCTGAAGCTCACTCCCTCCCATCTTAGATCTGATTACATGTCTGGGTGGAATTCTGTTTCCCTGACAGGAATTCCATAATCCTCTAGTTCCGGTAGGACCAGGACATTTTCATGCCTTCTGTAACTGAACTAATAATTGTACAGAGAATGTTGATTGTTCTTTGATCATTATATTATTTTTTTAATATTAAAATATTAAAAATATTTTAAAAGGTATATTACTTTTAATTTAAAAAATAATATAATTATGAAAAAAAAGCTCTTGACCTTCTAAATATGACTAGAGGTGCAATTGAATTTAAGATTTCAGGTAAGTTTCCACACCACAAAAACTCAAGATACTGAAATGCTGGGCATGCTGTGTTTGAAGTTATGGCTTAATGAAGCTCAGCAACTTTGGACGAATTTTGTCTACTTTGGTAATTTAAAACAAGGATTTTTTCAAAAAGGGAATACAGCCTATTATCCTCTGTAAGAAACTTAGAGTGTGCCACTTTCTTAAACAGCTGATTTAAGGAGCAGTATCAAATGCTATAAAACAAGAGGTTTAAGAGAGACTTTCTACCTGTTTACATTCATATAATACATTTCTTTCATCATATTTCATATATTAGCATTTTATATATTTATGCAGCTTTTTATAAACAGCCTTAGCATGTTATACTGGGCAGCATGGTCTAATGGTTGGCAACGTTTCCCACAGCAGGGGGGTTGAAACTGGATGATCTTTGAGGTCCTTTTCAGTCCAGGCCATTCTACGATTCTATGATTCTATGTAGAACCGAAATCCAAGTTCAATATTTTTTCTGCCACAATAAAGGCATTACAGTCTGGACTTCTGCATTTAGTGTTAAATTTTCAGTTCAAAGGTTATAATCTCTTTGGTAAATGGGTTTTAATCATTTTGCATAATTTGCATTAATTACAGTACTTAATAGTAATATTTTTCTGCTAAACATATCTTTTCAGTTGTGTATCCAAAAGCTGGACTGGTGACAATTCATTGGGAGTACTGGTGAGGACAGATATGATATGGATATCTTACAAAAACGCTTAAGTTTGTCAGTGATAAAGTGTGAAGGGGTGAAATAACTAGAGCTGTTATTTCTGCTAAAAGATCTTTACGATTCAGTTTGCTTCTGTCTGTCCTATTGAAAAAAATTTTGGTTTTTTATAGGCCATAATGCTTTCTCAGACCAAGAACTATATTGGGCTATTATTATCCAATCATAGTGCTAGAATTCAAGAGACATAATGCATTTTTCACACATTTTTTCTCCACAGAGTAATAAGATGATAGTGGGCAGTACAGATCAAAGCATGGCTCATTCAACACATTACTGCATAAATATATAGCAATGAAGATGGCATGTTTGAATTGATATGTTTTCATCTCTGTTTATGTGTACCTAAATTGCCATATCTACCTATATCCAAAGGAATAAATTCTTTGACAGCACAGTCTTTTCAAAGTGATATTGTATACAGTCAGATCAAAAATATTTCTTAAAATCCAGTAATCCCTTTGAACATATAAAACCAGCAAAGTTGCCACTTCAGTATAGTCACTTTCATCCCTAAATAAATATTTACTTTTCCTGCTTGCTAACTAATGCATCTTTTAATCTCTCCCAGTTGCAATTTCATAATGGGAGAAGAGAGAGACTGACTGGAATATTTAGGTGTTGTTGCATTATAGTAGGATCCTGAGAGGGCAGAGCAAAGTAGAAAGGGTTGAAAACTGAGCATCCCAAGATGAAGAAAAATGGAGGGGAAAAAAAAAATAGTAGTTGTGAAAGAGACTGGGAAAGAGTACAGCTACACCTACAGCTCTTCTGAGCAAGTAATAGCAATTAGAATAAAGCAGGAAAGTAGTGAGGTAAATGCCATTAATTCGAAGAGTTCTTTATGTCTTCTCTCTAGCTTCTTAAATATTTTGATCTACTACATGATAGATTATGCCAGTTTCATTCTTGATTATATTTTGTGTTATAAACCCATAATAATGTCTTGTTAGCTGTGTTTTGCTTTCCTGATTCTTTTTCCCTATGAGCTCCTTCTGCTGCTTCAACTACTTAAAATAAACATACTACCTTGGACATATTTTATGTGACTATTTTATTCCTTCCAGGAAGAAAAAAAACATTTTATGTTAAAAAAAAAATTAAAAATTATTAAGCTGCATCTGGTAGCTATAGCCAAGCCTAATGGAAGCAGGTGCTCTACAAGCTTTTCTGTAGAGCTCTGCCAACAGTGCTTGCTTCAGTCCAGCCAAACGCTTGTCATCTCATTACCAGCCCTCTCCTGGGCATCCTGACAATTGGGCATGCTTTCTTTTAAGCTACTAAAGAGCAAATTGAACTAGATTGAAAGTACTTAACTCATATCACTTCTAAGACAAATTTATCTGAGTTTCCAGGACATTGCCATGGCCTGAGAGCAGCTTTAGGCCTTAAATGCCTTGACTAGTCTCACCTGTGTCCCTTCCATACATCCTGCCCTTGGTATGGGATATCCATTTGAGCTCTAGGTGAGGGATCAGGCCCTTCTTGAGCTGCACTTGTCTATGCTGTAGCCTTGTTTCTAGCCCTGCCTTGTTTCCCTGGACAGCCCTGGTCCATCCTTTTGCCACATCCAAAGCTGCCTGCCCATCCCAGGCTCTGCGAGACAGCAAGCGATGGAGAAGACACAGCCTGTGCTTGGGTCACCTTCAGTTCCTCATGGTCTCCCTCCACAGAGCTGCCCTGCTTCTGCTGCTCCTCAAAAGAAATATCCTTACAGGGAGTCCAAACGCTGTGCTGTAGAGAAATCTCAAAAATGCTAGGGGACTTACACAGCCATGTTTGTAATATTGCAAACATGTAGAAGCTTTCTCCTGATAAAATAAACACGGCCATTATCTAAATCATAATCCCCTACATAATTTAGAATAGGCAAGCTTAGATGCCCAACCCAGCTTTACAAAAAGCCCTGTGGCTCAGAGTAGAAACTCAACCCTGATTCCTTCATCCCCGTCTATTCAGTTTGTGAAATGGATTCTTAAGGAAAAACAAGTAATTAAAACTTGTTAGTGATGACTCT